AAGAAACACATAATTTTAATTGTTGTAAAGTTTTAAAACACTAACAAGAATTATTTTATTAAATTTTATTTTCTTTTAAAAGACAATAATTTTTTAAGAGGACAATATGTTTCAGAAAACACCAAAATCGCAATACCAATACCACAAAGAAGGAGCCTTGTTTACATAGTAAAATTAGTAGCAATATAATAATGTTTATTTCATACTAAATATTACTTTCGTTAAGGCCACCTCACTAGAGGTTATGACAAGTTCTATACCATTGTTATGACAAGTACTATACCATTCGGCGCCACTTCATCTTTTCACCTTTATAAGTAATTTAACTACGTACAGATTTTAAAAATTATACGTAGTTATTTAAAATAGGGTAAAAGGATAAAGTGGCGCCGAAAATTTTATTATTTTTTAATTATTGCAGGAAAAAAAATTACTCGACAAAGTTTTGAATTTTACAAAAGAAATGTTATAGGCAAATTTAATAAAGATCGTTAATTTTTGCATAATAACACAATATTTATAAAAAACGGTATGCACAAACTGCCCCTTTATATAATGTATTTATAAATTTACATATTAGCCTAAAATATACGTGCATAACATTATAAAACTCAAAGGTTATTACCTAATAAGGTACTTTTATAAAAGCAAAAAAAGAAAATTGATAAAAAAATAGTGCCAAGAAACACAATCACGGCAAAAAAATTTAAAAAATTACATTGTTAAAATATAGAACAAATAAAATTTTAACCATTAAGTTTAAATAAACATACATTTTTATTCCTTGTTGTTAATACATGATAGATCAGAATATGGGTGGTCGTAACTTATATTTTTAATAGCCTCATCTAATTTATTATTTTCAAGTTCAAGATTAGGCATGCAAATTTTGTTCATTGATTTTCTTAAATTTAAAAATTCATCAGTGGGTGCAGGCTCTAAAAATTGCGATTGAAGATCTCTATATTTGTCCCAATTTTTTAACAGCTTATCATAATCATCTAAATCGTTTAATTCACAATCCAGTGATATATCTTCTTTAATAAGTTTTTGGAACTCTTCAATTTCTTTAACAACCGACATGGGTTTAAAATTTAAACAGAAATTATAAAATCAAAATTTATTATTAAAGTTTACGTTAAACAACTAGTTCTAACTAATTTTTGTTAGATAACAGTACATTATTTATATAAATAAAACTCTTTAAAGATTGTAATAAGAAACTACATATGAAATAAAATTTCATATACAAATTTTATAATTTACGAATTAAATTTTTTATATTATTATAACTTATACGACAAATTTTGAAAAAATAAAAATTTATTTGCTATTGTTTTAATTCTTATTCACTAAATTTATTTAAACACATCACATTTTTTTCAGAATATAATATACATCACAGTTTGTATTTAACATATTAAATTATCAACCAATCATTTGTATCTTTTTGTTTATTTTTTTTTTGTTCAACCTTCTTTCCTTTAAAAAACTATTTTTATCTCAATCTTAACATTCTCAACATACGCACATTATCAGCAGCGCTAACATATCGCCGCAAGGGCTCCCGCTTAATAGGTAGATGTTATTAACCCTCGTAAGAATATTACGGAAAGCCTACAACTGGTAGAACGCTACTGGATTTGAGCTTTACTGGCCTAGCTCTTGTGGTTAGTTAAGACGGTATGAGTCTAATGGCAGTAATGACCTCCCACCATCCAGAACGAAATGCCAAAACTATACTATCTTGTTACGCTTTTTTCCGGGAGGGTCTTTAAATGTAGTTTCTTACTAAAGGGTTTCAATTAGAACCTGCAAATGCTTCTACAGCTATGGCAGTTGTCATACCGTCCCACAGAAATTAAGTTTCCTTTACATTTTTCAGAACATTTACTGCCTTTAGGCACCGCTTACAGATAAGCCTCGATACTACTTTACCAACAAATATTTTATTACAATCGTTTTGTCAACGCCAAGTTGCTACTAATCGAATTTGAATTTCTGGGATTAAAACCCTTAACTCATTAATATCAGAGCAAAGCCAAAATTTAAATTTACACCAACCATTCCCATAAATTTATGATAGTAAATTTTAAAAGTAAAATTATAAATTAAATTTTTTTGTACCATTTTTATAAATTATAATTTTAGCCTACTATCTTACGTTGTCTAAATTTGTTGGTATTTTAACCATTTTGTAGGCTTATGTGCTTTTTTTCATTAATGATGTATATAACTCTCTTGCCTCAAAAAGGGGAGGTACCATTTTAAAAATAAATTTCAATACGGAATTTAAATTGTATGAATTCTTTTAAACACATTGCCTTCCCCAATCTTGGTTTGATCCAATTAAGCATGTTCTCGATTAAATTTATTTGAAAAAGTATTTATAAAACCTAATTTATAGTTGATTACATTTTTTAAATTCATCGAATCACATTTTTTAAAGGTTTTTAAAGTGGGAACCATAAACAACGCAATCTTGCTAAAACCATATAATATTTTAAGTAGGCAATATTAACCTGCAAACTAAATAGATTACACAAATGTATAAATATTTTTTGTCAAATCAATTGAGAAAATTCGTAAGTATAAAAATTGCATGTTTTAAAAAATTCGAGCCAAAAAAAATCGCAATTTTTGGTTTAGATGAAAATTTTTTAGCTAAATTTTTTAAAAAATTAGAAAGCTTTCTCTGCTTTAACAATTTTATATCAAAGTAAGTTAAAAAAAGAAATAAAACAATAAGAAATTGCTAAAAAATACAAGGTACACCCTTAAAGCATCACACATTTTAAAGTAAAACTTCAAAAAACAGGAATTTGTAAAAAAATCTCAGATCAGACAGGCCTAATATCCTTAAAAATGATGATTTAAAATTTTTGAAGATTCTAAGCTTGGTAGCACAAAACTGACTAAAGATATAAAAATGAAACTTTAAAAAACAATATCTGCGAAGATCTTAAGAAGCAAATTATGTAAAATGAAGCCTTTTGGTCGGGTTTTTCGTAAAATTCCCATTTGTCAAAAAAAAATATTAAGGCAAGATTGAAGTAGGCTGAAAAACATGCTTCGTGGTTAGATAAGAGATATTTTAGTGTAATTTAAGGTGATGAATCAAAAACTAATCTTTATGCATTTGATAGTAATAGATTTGTTCGTAAAGAAAAAAAACGAAAAATGATTAAAAAATTTCCCTTCCCCTACAACTGTCAAGCATTGAGAAGGTAATTTCGTGGCATGGGCCTGTTTTAAAGCAGATGGTGCCGAGATATACATAAATTGAAATAGTAATAAATTAAAGAAAGTATGCAAGAATTTAGACACAAAATTGGCATGTTCGGCTACAAATTTTAAAAAAAGATCAATACTTTATAACTGTGGTATTAATTCCACATGAACTGTTTCTATTTTCTGAATTTTCTTGAAAAAATTTTACTATAAAAATATTTTATGAAAAGAAGGGCATCGCTGTCATGAAGAACTCACATTATTATCAACAGCAAGAGAATCATAGGATCAATAGGGGATCTCACAAGAGCACAATTCCCCATGAAGTTAATAACCCATTTAAGTTACACCAATTTAGTTTGGCTTCGGGAGCGAGCATGGTGGAGAACTTTTTTAGTTCTAATCGCCTTCCTGCATTTCTCGCCACAATAACAGAATAACAATTTTAGGCATACACAAAAGTATGTAAGAGAAAATATAAAGTGGTAGCAAAAAAAAGAAATATTATATAGTATAGTAATCATACATTTTTACGCCACAACTTTCGGTTCTTTTACTTTATAAAAAATTATAGAGTACGTTGAGAATAATTGACATTGTTCTTGTGAAACTTTTATGGTAGAAAAGAAAAATTTATATTTTGGAGGGCAAGAAGAAAGTAATTATTTTCTCTAGGCAGGAAAATTTTATTTAAGACTGCAAAAACTTTCTATTTTATCATTTATGATGCAAAAATTATCTTTAAGTGAAAAATTAGAAATTAAGGCTTACTTTGAATAGGTACAAAAATAAAATGCAAAAAAGTTCTTAATAAGTCAGTAAACAGTGTCTAAACCCAAAGAAAAATTAATTAAACAGGACAATTTGAAATTAAAGCAGGTTTGGTAGACCTTTATTACTTGATATTAATGATATATCCTATTCGAAAAAAAAATAAATGCTGACCCATAAATTGGCAGTATTGAGCTTGCTTCGGATTTTTTAAACGACAAAAAAATGGGATTGAATAATAGAATTGAATGTAAAAAATCATTTCTGTCTAAAAAACATACTTTGAAAAGAAAACATTGGGCACTCAAACACGCCTGCTTCTCTGATCAGAAATGAAATAGGGCTAGTTTTAGCGGTAAAACAAAATAAACTTATTTGTCTCTGATGTAAAAGTTTTTGTGTGAAGAAAAATTGGCCAAAGATATAATAAAAAAAATTTAAATGCACAATAAGACATTTATGTAGTAGTATCATCGTTTGGGCATGTTTTCTTGAGTTCCAGGTATCAAAAAAATATGTATAATTGATGGTATAATGAATAGCGAAGTATACTGTAAAATTTTAGACAATTATCTTGAGGCTTCCGCAAAAAAGCTTAAATTAAAAAATTATATTTATAGCAAGATAATAATTTGAAACATACGAGTAAATGTAATTTAGACTATTTGGCAAATAAGGAGATTTTAACTCTAGATTAGCTTGCACAGTCTCCAGACATGAATCCTATAGAAATTTATGGCATATTCTTAAGGCAGAAGTAAGAAAAAGAAAACGAAAAAATGTAAATGAAATAAAGATATCTTTTATAGAAGAATGGAATAAAATAGATGTTTAAGTTTGTTAAAAGCTGGTACAGAGCATAAATAGTAGATGCAATGAATTATTAAGAGAAAAATGTGGACATACTAAAAATTAAATAAAAATATCCTTATTCGTAACTTTTTTTCATTTAACCAATAAAAGTATTGTGTTTGTGTGAAAAAAGAATTAATAACTTAAGCAATTAAAAATCTTTGTAAGTTTTTTTTAAATAGCAACAATATGTCATATTATACAATTTGTTATTGCAAAATTTAATATTTCTTTTTTTTGCCACTACTGTATGTAAGGTCAAAAAAATAAATTTTTTTTAAAATTCTGTCTCCTTTAATCAGGTCATTACCAATTGCTTTTCTTTGTAAGCAAAATTTTTATCTCTTGTAAAACTCTAAAATGCCAAAATAAAAATCATTAAAAAGCATGCAATTCTTACTGCTGATTTACTAAAATTTAAAATGTTTATACCATGCATTTGTATGTTGTTATATTGGATTGTAATGTTGTCGAAATACTAGTATATATTATGAGCAAAATTCGACATATCATTTTGAAAAAAAGCCTTTTTATCAACTTTTAATTAAATGGAAAAATGAAAAGCTTCTTAATTTATATAAAAGACATACTGGTGGCGAAGAAGATTTTAAGGCAGAAAGAAAAGTCGTCTCAAATTATTTAATTACAATGCTGGGATCCAATATGCTTCCACGCAAGTAACTTTATAAAATCGGCTTAAAATGTAATAAATAAACGAAAGTAACAAATTTAAACTTAAAAATTATATGATTTTTTTTATATTTTGTTAAATATTACATTTTTTTGAAAGATCTTACAAATTAACAATCAAAGAAATTAGTTGTTTACAAAAAGGATAGAATGCTTCTGGCGTGTAATTAAACAATAGTGCCCAATTTCCTTTTTCATAAAACCTTACATAACCCTTTTCATTTACATATACCATTCTATATTATACATTAAATTTACATTCACACATTATTTTATTTACAAAGCCATTGTATTCGAATAATAAA